GGGGGGGGGGGGTTAAGCGGCCATCTGGGAAGTTCTCCTGGGAGCTCGGGGTTTTCTCGGGCAGGAATGCGGGGGGCGGGGGCATGGGGTCATCCTGGGGATGGGGCCCGCGCTTTCAGAAACGCGAGTATGTTCTCAGGTCTTTCTGTGTGGGAGTGGATGCAATCATTCGAGCACAGAGCCTGCGGCTCTTAGACGTCAAGGCTAGGACCCAGCGAGAAGAGGGCTCAGAGGAGCCCGACCAGAGTTTGGTCAGGGAGAGACTCACTATCCTTAGTGCGCCTTGGCTTTGGGGGAGGTGGGATCAACTTTCAGCAGAGACAGGACAAAGAGCCAATCACAAAGCACTTGCTCACCTCGACCCCCAAACCCAGAGAGGCAGGGCAGAAAGGGGGTCAGGCAGGGAGGCTGAAGGAAGGAGAGGTGACTCGGCCGCTGGGAGGTGGTTTTGGGAGTTTCTGGTCCGGGCCCCAGCGGTGCTTCCTAGGTGGCTGCTTGGCCTGTGTCACACCCCTAGGGTTACAGCGGGGACACCAGGCGTCACAGAATCCCTCCCACGCGGGGTGTGGGGCTTGCAATGTAGGCAGCCAGAGACAGCCCTTGGTCCTTCCAGAACAGATCACTCCACACAAGCCGTAAAGCGGCCCGTGGTAAGTGGTGTTCGCAGACGTGAAGTCACAACAAGGGCCGCTCACTGAGGGCTCTCAGCTTCCATTCATTCCTTTTGGGCAGTTTGCGCATTCAGGGAGCGTCTGAACGTGAACTCGGAGCTCGCGCTGCCCTGGGGGCTGGGCGTCGGCCCTCGTGGGGTGTGTCTTAGCTCGGGGCTGGCGTAACGGAGCGCCCCAGACCGGAGGGGGTGGGGGGCTTAAACCGCAGAGATTTACTCTCAGTTCTGGAGGCTGCGAGCCCAGGATCAAGGTGCCGTGGATTCGGTTCTGGGGGAGCGCCTCTCTCTGGCTTGGGGACGGCCGCCTCCTCTCCGTGTCTTTGCGCGGTGGGAGAGGCCTAGCAAGCTCACTCTGGTGTCTCTTCGTGAAGGACATCAGACTCATCACGAAGGCCCCACCCTCAGGGCCTCATCAAAACCAAATCGCCTCCAAATACCACCCCGTTGGGGGTTAGGAATTTGAGGGTGACGCAATTCAGTCCGGGCAGGGTGCATCCTGGGTGTTGGCTGGGCCAGCTTGGAGGCCCTGCCCTGAGTCTCCAGACAGCCTGGGGGAAGCAGGGCAAGGACGGGGGTCTAGGTGCCTGGACAGGAACCCTCGAACTTTGAGAGGTGAAGCAAAAGCATCTTCCCCCGGCCCCCATTTCCAAGGAGATAAGCAGGTGGTAAGCTGCCTCATTCTCGCCTGGATCATGGCTTCCTCTCCGTCCCAGATACCTTTCACAGCAACCAATTCCACCCAGATGGTGTCTTGAGTTTACCTGTCCCTTGCCTTGTCCCCCGTACTTACCTGTGGGTTCCCCAGGGGCCGGGGGCCGGGTGTCGTGCGTCCACGTGCCCTGCAAGCTTGTCTCTGAGTCAGGGTGGGCCAAGCCTTCCCTCCCTGGGGGACCGCACCCTGTTTCCCTTCTCCATCTGTCCCCTACTTTGGATCTATGGGACTCTAGCAGCCAGGCAGGCCGAAGAGGCCTGGGATCTGACACCCGTGTGCCTGGGGGCAGAGGGGCAGCGAGCAGGGGGCACCCCTAAGCCAGTGGGGATCTGTACCTGGTGTCTATAATCACCCCCTCCCTGCCCACTGTCCCCAGCTGTGGGAAGTCCCTCCCCAGCACCCGCACCAAGACCCAGAAAGAAGATGGGGATGGCATTGGGGACATCCACATTTGGGGCCGGAACATCTTCATGGGGTACCTCGACGATGAGGAGAAAACCCAGGAGAAGATTGATCTCCATGGCTGGCTGCGCACGGGGGACCTGGGCTTTTTGGACGATGACGAATTCCTCTACGTCACGGGCAACGAAAGGGTGAGCAAGACCAGGCTGCAGGGTACTCTCTGCCTCTGACCAGGCCCCACGGGGCTGCTGCGGACGGTGGTGCAGGTTGCACACAGCACGATGATGAGGGACGACTGAAGTCCAGCTTGGAGGAAGGGGCACCCTTTGTATTCTGTCTATCTCTATCTCCGTTGTTTCTGAGCATCCAGGGGTGGCTCTGGGCTCCAGGACAGCTGACTTGATGTAGCTTTTCAGGACCACAACCCTCCTCTCTCTCCGCCTGCAGATCTCATCACCCTCAGTTCAGGTGAGAAGATCAACCCGAACCCCATCGAGGAGCGGGTGAAGAGGCACATTCCCATTGTCCGCTACGTCGTGCTGGTGGGCCAGGACGCCCCATACCTCTGTGCCCTGCTCACGCTCAAGGTACCTCAGCTGGTTTTGAGCCTCGTGGCAAGTCTGGGCTGTTGGCTGGATGGGGGCGGCCATCCTGGTTTCAAGATGGGGAGACTGGGGCGCCTGGGGAGGGGGTTCAGTCGGTGAAGCGTCTGACTCTTGGTTTCCGCTCAGGTCATGATCTCGCGGTTTGTGAGTTCAAGCTCTGCATCAGGCTCTGTGCTGACAGTGCGGAGCCTGCTTGGGATTCTCTCTCTCTCCCTCTCTCTCTCTCTCTGCC